CGTGCATTACCGCTCGCTGGACGGGGCCGGCGCCTTCAACTGGCGCTTCGTGTTCCCCTTCGAGTACCTGGCGGCCGAGCAGCGCTGCGTGCTGCCCGCGAGGGTGAGGAGCGGAACGGGAAGCCGGGAGGGGACGGGACGGGACGGGACGGGGACACCTCGTGTGACCCCTTCCAATGTGCACCCCTGCTGCCACAGAAGCATTTCTGGAGCCTGGATGAGACGGTGCAGAAGGTGCCCCCGAAGCTCATCCTGCAGGTGTGGGACAATGACAAGTTCTCGGCTGATGATTTTCTAGGTGAGAGCCGGCTCCTGCCCCCCTGCTTCCTGGGGACGCCCACGGGGGATGGGGAGCACCTACGAGTGGTGGGGAGCATCTATGGGTAATGGGGAGCACCTACAAGTAGTGGGGAACACGTACAAGTGACAGGAGCACCCATGGGTAATGGGGAGCACCTATCAGTGGTGGGGAGCATCCACAAGTGATGGGGAGCACCTACAAGTGCTGGGAGCATCCATGGGTAAGGGAGAGCACCTACAAGTGGTGGGGAGCATCCACAAGTGATGGGGAGCACCTACAAGTGGTGGGGAGCACCTACAAGTGGTGGGGAGCACCCACAAGTGATGGGGAGCACCTACAAGTGGTGGGGAGCATCCACAAGTGGTGGGGAGGGAGTACCTACAAGTGGTGGGGAGCATCCACAAGTGGTGGGGAGGGAGCACCTACAAGTGGTGGGGAGCACCCACAAGTGATGGGGAGCACCTACAAGTGGTGGGGAGCATCCACAAGTGATGGGGAGCACCTACAAGTGGTGGGGAGCACCCACAAGTGGTGGGGAGCATCCACAAGTGGTGGGGAGCACCTACAAGTGGTAGGGAGCATCCACAAGTGATGGGGAGCACCCACGGGTAATGGGGAGCACCTATCAGTGGTGGGAAGCATCCACAAGGTTCTAGGGAGAATCCAAACGTGACAAAGAGCACCCACAAGTGATAAGGAGCACCCAGTAGAGATGGGGAGCATCCACGGATATTGGGGAGCACCCATGAGTGATGGGAAGCACTCACAAGTAATAGGGAGCACTCACAAGGTGATGGGGAGCACCCACGGGTGACAGGAACACCCACAACTGATGGGACGTGCCCACTAGTGATGGGGAACATCCATGAGTGAAGGGCAGCACCCACAGGTGAGGAGGAGCATATATAAGTGAAGGGCAGCACCCATGGGTGATGGCAGCACCCACAACTGATGGGAAACACCCACTAGTGATGAGGAGCATCCATAAGTGAGGGGCAGCACCCACAGGGGATGGCAGCACCCACTAGTGATGGGAGCACCCACAACTGATAGGAAGCACCCGCTAGTGATGGGGAGCATCCATAAGTGAGGGGCAGCACCCACAGGGGATGGCAGTAGTGATGGGAGCACCCACAACTGATGGGAAGCACTACTGATGGGGAGCATCCATAAGTGAAGGGCAGCACCTACAGGGGATGGCAGCACCCACTAGTGACGGGAGCACCCACAACTGATGGGAAGCACCTACTAATGATGAGGAGCACCCACAGGTGAAGGGCAGCACCCCCGGGTGACGGCAGCACCCACAACTGATAGGAAGCACTCACTAGTGATGAGGAGCATCCACAGCTAATGGCAGCACCCATGGGTGATGGCAGCACCCACAACTGATAGGAAGCACCCACTAACGATGGGGAGCACCCATAGGTGAAGGGCAGCACCCCCGGGTGACGGCAGCACCCACAAGTGATAGGAAGCACTCTCTAGTGATGAGGAGCACCCATAGGTGAAGGGCAGCACCCATGGGTGATGGGAGCACCCACAACTGATAGGAAGCACCCACTAATGATGGGGAGCACCCATAAGTGAAGGGCAGCACCCATGGGTGATGGGAGCACCCCCACTGAGCAGCCGCCCTCCCTCTCCGTGCCCCCAGGAGTGCTGGAGCTGGACCTGACGCGGCTGCCCCGGCCCGCGCTGCACCCCCGGACCTGCTCCCTGCCGGGCACCCCCCGGAGGCGCTGGCCCTGGCCCTGGGGGGGGCCGCGGACCCCTCCTTGCGTGTCCCTGTTCCGGCAGCGGCAGGCCCGGGGCTGGTGGCCCTGCGTGGCGAGCAGCGGCGGCGAGCGGCGGCTCTCGGTGAGTGCGGGGCCATGGGCTCGGAGCCTGCGGCCGCAGCTCCCCCCGCCCCACACACACCCACACAAACCCCCCCCATCACTGCAGGGAAAGCTGGAGCTGAGCCTGGAGCTGCTCACGGCGAAGGAGGCGGAGGAGCGGCCGGCAGGGAGAGCCCGGCAGGAGCCCAACATGTACCCAACGCTGCCGCCGCCAGTGTGAGTGCTGCGGGGAGTGAACAGCTTCAGGGTCACCCGGTCCAACCCTTACCCAGCACTGCCACGGCCACCACTGACCCATGGCACTGAGGGGGTGTGAGCACTGCAGGGACGGTGCCTGCAGCCCTGCCCTGGGCAGCCTGTTCCAATGCCTGAGCACCCTCTGGGGCAGGAATTGTTCCTCAGCTCCATCTAAACCTGCCCTGGTGCAGCTTGAGGCCGTTTCCTCTTGTCCCATCCCTTGTTCCTTGGGAGCAGAGCCCAGCCCCTCCTGGCTCCATCCTCCTCTCAGGCAGTTGTAGGGAGCGATCAGGTCCCCCCTGAGCCTTCTCTTCTCCATCTGACCCCCCCCAGGTCCCTCAGCCCTTCCCCATCACCCCCGTGCTCCAGGCCCTGCTCCAGCCCCATTGCCCTTCTCTGCCCCCCCTCCAGCCCCTCAATGTCTCTGTTGTAGTGAGGGCCCCAGAGCTGAACACAGGATTCGAGGTGCAGCCTCACCAGTGCCCAGTGCAGGGGCACAATCCCTGCCCTGGCCCTGCTGCTGCACTGGTGCTGCTCCAGGCCAGGATGCTGGGGGCTGCCTGGGCACAAGCTGCTCGTGCTCAGCTCCATCGCTCAGCACCCCCAGCTCCTTCCCCACGAGCAGCTTTCCCCAAGCCATGCGTTGCAGGGGGTGTCTGAGCTGGGTGTCCCCGCAGGCGGCCCGACTGGTCCTTCCTGTGGGTGCAGGCGCCGCTGCGCACCCTGCGCCATGGGCTGTGGCGGCAGCACCGCGGCTGCATCAGCCTGAGCCTGGCACTGCTGCTGCTCTTTGCGCTGCTCCTCACCTTCGTCTACGCCGCGCCGGTGAGCACAGGAGGCTCAGCCACCCCCTTACCCCCATCGCCACCCATTGAGCCCCCCCCCAAAGCTCCTTTTGTGTCTCCCCACAGGGTTATTTGGCCATGAAGCTGGTAAACCCATTCCAGGGCTTGCACATCAGTGGTGACAGTGGCATCGGCAAGCACCATGCAGCGGGTGCTGAGCACCACATGGGTGCTGCTCACAAACCCTGATGTGGCACCCCGGGATGGCAGCATCGGTGTCACCTCTTCAATAAAGCTACATGCAGCAAGGGGAAAAGCAGCATCCCCAGGGCATTGGGGGAGAAAAGGAGCTGCTCCAGCTTGGGGAGCTCAATGGCACCGGGGTGCAGCCCCCAACTTGCTATGGCACCCAACAGCAGGGCTGTGGGGAGAGAACGCTGCATGCAAGGGACTGGGGGGTGACATCAGCCCATTGTGTTACTGACCTTAAAGCTCCTCCAGCTCCAACCCCTGCCACGGGCAGGGACCCCTTCCACTGGAGCAGCTTGCTCCAAGCCCCTGTGTCCAACCTGGCCTTGAGCACTGCCAGGGATGGGGCAGCCACAGCTTCTCTGGGCACCCTGTGCCAGCGCCTCAGCACCCTCACAGGGAAGAGCTTCTGCCTAAGAGCTCATCTCAGTCTCCCCTCAGGCAGGTTAAAGCCATTCCCCTTGGCCTGTCCCTCCAGGCCCTTGTCCCAAGCCCCTCTCCAGGTTTCCTGCAGCCCCTTCAGGCACTGGAGCTGCTCTCAGGTCTCCCCTTCAGGAGCCTTCTCTTCTCCAGGCTGCCCCAGCCCAGCTCTCTCAGCCTGGCTCCAGAGCAGAGCTGCTCCAGCCCATGGCCTCCTCTGGCCTCACTCCAACAGCTCCACGTCCCTCTTGTGCTGCTGCCCCAGAGCTGGATCAGGACTGCAGGGGGGCTCTCCCCAGAGCATAGCAGAGGGGCAGGATCCCCTCCCTGAGCTGCTGCTCACACAATCACCCACCATCACCCACTCTCACAGTGTCACACCATGGCACCCGCTGTCACACACACACCAATGTTTATTCTGAGACACCAGAACAGCTCCAGGGGCAGGCACCCACGTTTCACTCCTGGTTGCGAGGCAAAAAGAGAACAAACCCCAGGAAAACTCCTTCTACCCCACAACCAGTGCTGGGCACTTGGGAAAAGGCTCCCACCCACAGCCCCGTGTGTGCCCCCCACACTCTGGGATCCCCACAGGGATCCACCCTGGCTGCGAGGGTCCTGGAAGGCTCCAGGGCATGGACACAGCTCCCCAGGATGCCATCGAGGAGGGTGCTGCAGATTTGCCATCCTGATGTCCCCAGAGCCATTAAAGGCTCCCCTAGGACAAACTGACCTAACGTCTCCTGGATCCCTCTGGGGACCACTCTCTTGTGCTGGGGGGCCCAGGGGTGAGAGTGGATGCGACAACCAGCAAGAGAACACCAAGAAACCATTGACCAAAGCAGTCCCTGAGGTAGGATTAAACCACAACTCCCTGAAAGGCAGCAAAAGCTCCGGCTCCAAGGCAGGGAGAACCCTTGGAGGAGCCCTGGGATGCAGCGAGCACCGAGGGGAAAGCTGCCAGAAGCCACGACACGACATGCAAACGGCACCGGTGCAGGGATCCACGTACAAAGAAAAGCTGCCTGGGCTCCACCGCCAGCCTAAGGCAGGTGACAGAGCAGCCAGAGCGGGGTGAAGAGCTTGGAAATTCCCTCCTGGAAGTGGAAATCGCTTGGAGAGAAGAGGCTGGGAGGGAAGGAGGGATCTGGTGTGGAAACAGGGCCTGCTCGCTGGCATCCCCCAGAGCCGAGGTGAGGACTCCTGCCCACGTCCTGACATCCTCCTGAACAAGTCCCAAAGCAAAGCTCCCTCAGGAGGTGGCAGCTCCATCCCTGCAGCCATCACAGGATCCCAGCTCCCACCAGGAGCAGCACTGGAGTTCTGGAGCCCAACAAGAAGCAGCAGCCGTCCCAGTGGGGGGGGGACGGCACACACAAAGGTCCCTGCCATGGGGGTCAGTCCATCACGCTCTGGCCAGTCTGGGAATGGTGGGAGGCAGGAGGTGGCTAGCAAGGACTAGCCATGGGCTATCCCAGGGTATTCCCAAGTCAATAGAAGTGTTTCCGGCTCTGCTCCTGCCACTTGTTGTAGATGATGACCCCGATGACGATGGCAAAAACGATGGCAACGAGGGAGAAGAAGACGATCAAGAAGAGAGCCAGGCCACTCATGGGCTCCAGCGGTGCCTCCACTGGGAGAGAGAGGAGGGAAACCAGCCCATGAGCACCCCAAGAGCCCAGCACCCCAGAACCCACACCCCAGGAACCCCTCCTCAAGGCCAGGTTGGACACAGGGGCTTGGAGCAAGCTGCTCTAGTGGAAGGTGTCCCTGCCCGTGGCAGGGGTTGGAGCTGGACGAGCTTTAAGGTCCCTTCCAACCCAAACCATTCCATGATTCCAGGTGGAGCTCAGCCTGTTCGCTCTCAAAATGATGTGGCTTCTCCTCCACAACCCTTCGAGTCCCTAGGGCTCCCCCCTTCCCCTGTGTGGGACCAGCAGCTCCTACTCACTTCCTGGCAGCTTCAGGTTGTCCACGACGGGCAGATAGACCTCCCTGTCCCGCTTCTCCTCCTCCGGGCTCCTCTCCACTGTCAGCTGGTAGAGCTTGAGGGAGATGATGTCGTGGTTGTCTGCAAGCAGAGCACAACCACCACGTCCTGAGGCACCGCTGCCAGTGCCAGCTCTGGCCAGGGACTGAGGGCCTCAGGCAGCACCACGGGATGTTATCACCTGGGACAAAGGTGCTGCTCTGCCTTCCCGAGGTGGGCAAACTCACCTGCAGAGGGCAGGATCTATGCTGGGCTCAGCTGGGCCCTCAGCCAACGGGAACCTTTAAGCTAAAGTGAAAACCACCAGCCCAAAGTGGGATTAGCCCATCAGGCACCCCAAGGGAAGGTGTTAGCATCAGCCTCACGGGGCCCTGTGCTCGTGCTGGTGGGGCTGTTAGTGGGACAAGGCGAGGGCTCCGCACCAGCTCCCCGGGCACCAGGCAGGGATCTGGGAGAGAAAAGGAACTGCTGTTGGAGCCAACAATGGGCTCAGACCCCCAGAGATGCACTTCTGCAGAGGCAGAGCTCAAATCAGGCTGAAAACGTGCCCAAAGAGGCCCAGTGGGGTAACAGCACAGCGCACAGCACCTCAACCAGCACCACGGGAGAAGTATTATGCAGAGGAGGGTGAAGGGCTGCAGCTTTAGGTCCCTCCCTCAATTAGGAGCAGCTCAGAGCTCCCAGGATGTGAAATCCAAAGCAAGATGCCCCCGGAGCAGAGGCTGAGAGGGAGCCCTGTGGCTGCAGCGAGGGCCGTTCCTCACAGTGCTGCCCTTGGGGTTAACCCAGGCACCATGGGCTGTGGCAGGAGAGTGGAGGAGATTCCTTTTCCGTGCTCATCCTGCTTTCACTCCTCCTCAGGGGCTTGTTTGGGAGACAGAACCCTCTGGCTGAGCTGCTGCAGCCGCTTGGCTGCACTCCTGTTGGCTGAGCTTGGGCCGTGCAGGGAGCTCAAGGAAAGTGGGAAGCGCTGCCTAAAGCAAGCACTCAGGGGAGCAACACACCCAGAGCAGGCTCTGGGTTCTTCAGGAGCTGCTGCAAGCTAAAACCAACGCTTAAAGGTGTTGAAAGCACAGACAGCTCCTCATTTGCTTCCGTAAGCACCCAGCTGCACCTCCAAAGCTGCCCAGGAGCTGCTTGGGAAGCAAGGTTTTTGGGACCCCAGGGCAGTACCTGAGAGGTCTCCAGTGACAGAAGACGTCCCAAAGTAGTAGCCACGGGGCAGGCGCACGCCCGGCACGTCGATGCAGTCCCTCCACTCGTGCTTCCCGTCGATATCAATCAGGACCTGAAGCAGAAGCAGGACCCTGAGGCCTTGCCGGGGCCCCGCTGCCCCGTGGCGCCGGGCTGGAAGCACTCACCGTCAGCCTCCTCTTCACGTAGCGGATGACCAGGAAGGTGTCGTGGTTGAGGTTCCTCACCATGGCCGTGCAGCCCCCCAGCTCCGTCGGGCGCCCGTCCCGGTCGTGGTCGTAGGTGAGGGAACCGTTGTTCACCATGGCCGAGATGTAGGGGAACACACGCTGCCGGGGGGCAAGGCTGGGGCTGAGCTCTTGGGTCGACCACGAGCCAGAGCAGCCCTATGGAGCCCAAACTCCTTCATCCCACCAAGGATCTGCCTCAACACGACACCAGCACGATCCCGTTCCATCCCTTGGACGTTCAGGAGGGAGGACGGTCCGTCTCATGCAGCCTCTCCCAGGTGGCAAAGGGATTTCTGGAGCTCAGAGGAGGGAATTCCTCAACTGTGAGCCAAGGTGAGACCGGACAGCTTGGGAACGGGAAGGTCAGCAAGAGGAAGTACCTGATTTCCCGGGCTGTACCTCCTCTTCTGAGCCTGCCAGTCCAGGGTTATCGCAAAGCAAGAAAGAGCACAGAAGCAAGATGGTCACAGACCAGAGTTTAGCGTTCACCTGCAACCTGGACGCTTCCTCCCTGGAATGCTCAGCTTAGCAGAGACTAAAGCAGGGAGGGCTTTAGGTGTTAGGGGCTGAATTCTGAGCCACACGGAGAGGGAATGGTGCTGGGGGCTGAAAGCCACATCAAGCGTTGCCGTGTTTCTCCTCCTCACCACGCAGCAGCTCACCCACACAACAGAGCCCCAACAGCAAGAGCAGCTCCAGTGCCTGAAGGGGCTGCAGGAAACCTGGAGAGGGGCTTGGGACAAGGGCCTGTAGGGACAGGCCAGGGGGAATGGCTTTAACCTGCCTGAGGGGAGACTGAGATGAGCTCTTAGGCAGAAGCTCTTCCCTGTGAGGGTGCTGAGGCGCTGGCACAGGGTGCCCAGAGAAGCTGTGGCTGCCCCATCCCTGGCAGTGCTCAAGGCCAGGTTGGACACAGGGGCTTGGAGCAAGCTGCTCCAGTGGAAGGGGTCCCTGCCCGTGGCAGGGGTTGGAGCTGGAGGAGCTTTAAGGTCCCTTCCAACCCAAACCATTCCAGGATTCTATGATTCCACACATGTGAAGAGTGCTCCGTGCCTGACCAGAGGAGGGCAGCCCTCTCCAGGTGCCAGGAAGCCAGACACCCACATTCCACTCATGATTTCCTTTAAGGAAGACCCATTGTGTATCCCTTTACCCCACAAAAGCAGCTCTGTCACTGCAAGTCACCAGGACCCACCCAGCACTAACCCCATTAACAAGGCACCAAATGGCTCACAAAGGCTTTTACAAGCACAAAGTCCACCCCTGCACCAGAGCTGCTGCGTTGGGTTCCTCAACAAAAGCTGGTTGTTCCTCAGCATTTCTCAGCAGCTCCAAGGTCAGGGCACATCCCAACTGCACCTTTTGTCCCTTTCTCCAGGGTGAGCAGTGTTAATCCCACTTTGGGATCAGCACCAATGTCTTGGGGTACAACAGTGCCTATGTTTTAGGGAAAACTGGCATTAAAACCGAGTCCAGCTTTGGGTTTGGCGTGATAAAAGAGATTCCAGGGCAAGGCTTGGTTTTAACTACCTCTGCACTCCCTTCTCCATAGGAACCCACACCAATAAACCTCCAAACAACCACCAGACACACCAGGAACACAAAGACCTTCAGAAGGGCGTCTTCCAAAGGGGCAGAGCCCAGTCCCACTGCACCAGAGAGCAGGGAAAGCCTCCTGGGGGCAGCTGCCATGAAACAGCCCTGTCAACGCAGGCAGGGCTGGGCTGGCAGCTCAGGAACTGCTCTGCTCAAGCCCTACAATGCTCTCGGCACAGCTTCACCTCTGCTACCGCTTGTGGCAGGCTCCAGAAGAGGCCGGGAGCTCAGCACACGGAGGTAGGATCGTCAGGCAGCTGGAGTGGGTGCTCGCTGCCTCCCGAGCTCAGGGAAGAGCCGTAAGCTCAGCTCTGCCCCTGCAGGAAGCTGGCGGGCAGCGCGGTTCCGTTGGCTCCTAGCTCACCTCATGCTGCTTCTCCTCGTTTGGGTAGGTGTCCACAAACACTCCCAGGCCCAGGAAGTTATCCTTGCTTCCAAAGACAGGTCCTAGGAGGGAGGAGAGGCTCTGGTTAGGGATGGCAAAGCCAGGCAGGCGTTGCAAAGGGGTTGTTACTCATCATGTTACGTAAAGAGGAAGCCTTGAGCAGTGACTAAAGCACACAGGGCAGGCAGGGAAGTCAGAGTGGCAGCTGAAATGCCTTTCCCTTTGCTGCTCAAGGACTGAGCTTCCTCCACAGTCTGGTTTTTAAGGAGCTGACTCCCAGTGCAGGAGGCTCCACACTTCCCATTACACTGACCCCAAAACGAGCACAAAACAACCCCAAAGCCCTGCCCCCCAACCTGATTCCAGCCTCCCAGTGCCTCTGCATGAGCAGCAGCTCAGGGAGGGGATCCTGCCCCCCTGCTGCGCTCTGGGGAGACCCCCCTGTGGTCCTGACCCAGCTCTGGGGCAGCAGCACAAGAGGGACCTGGAGCTGCTGGAGCAAGGCCAGAGGAGGCCATGGAGCTGCTGCGAGGGCTGGAGCAGCTCTGCTCTGGAGCCAGGCTGAGAGAGCTGGGCTGGGGCAGCCTGGACAAGAGAAGGCTCCTGAAGGGGAGACCTGAGAGCAGCTCCAGTGCCTGAAGGGGCTGCAGGAAACCTGGAGAGGGGCCTGGGACAAGGGATGTAGGGACAGGCCAAGGGGAATGGCTTTAACCTGCCCGAGGGGAGACTGAGATGAGCTCTTAGGCAGAAGCTCTTCCCTGTGAGGGTGCTGAGGCGCTGGCACAGGGTGCCCAGAGAAGCTGTGGCTGCCCCATCCCTGGCAGTGCTCAAGGCCAGGTTGGACATGGGGGCTTGGAGCAAGCTGCTCCAGTGGAAGGGGTCCCTGCCTATGGCAGGGGTTGGAACTGGAAGATCTTTAAGGTCCTTTCCAACATAAACCATCCCCTGAGAAGGAGGCACATCCCTGACACCAGCGACAGCCGCTACAGCCACGCTCACCTGGCTGCATGCGATCCTTGGTGTACCAGATGGCAAACCCATCCCCGTTCAGGTTCTTCTTGCCTTGCCCGTGGATTTTGAAGTGCACCTGCATCTCCCAGTCCCGCAGGTAACACGGCTGCAAGCAGAGGAGCAGGGATGGGACCCACGGCTTCTGTGCCCACGAGGGTTAGGGGACAGACACCGCCACGGCTGCAGCATCCCCTGCCTGTCACAACAGCTCCATGTGCCACTACTCCATGCTTCCCTTGCCATCCCATAGTTTCGTTGGGAGCAGTAAGTAATCCCAAGGGACATCATTAAACCAAGGGAATCGTTTCAAAGGGGAAGGAAAGGAGGGCCAAAGGGGAAGGAAAGGAGGGCCAAAGGGGAAGGAAAGGAGGGCCAAAGGGGAAGGAAAGGAGGGCCAAAGGGGAAGGAAAGGAGGGCCAAAGGGGAAGGAAAGGAGGGCCAAAGGGGAAGGAAAGGAGGGCCAAAGGGGAAGGAAAGGAGGGCCAAAGGGGAAGGAAAGGAGGGCCAAAGGGGAAGGAAAGGAGGGCCAAAGGGGAAGGAAAGGAGGGCCAAAGGGGAAGGAAAGGAGGGCCAAAGGGGAAGGAAAGGAGGGCCAAAGGGGAAGGAAAGGAGGGCCAAAGGGGAAGGAAAGGAGGGCCAAAGGGGAAGGAAAGGAGGGCCAAAGGGGAAGGAAAGGAGGGCCAAAGGGGAAGGAAAGGAGGGCCAAAGGGGAAGGAAAGGAGGGCCAAAGGGGAAGGAAAGGAGGGCCAAAGGGGAAGGAAAGGAGGGCCAAAGGGGAAGGAAAGGAGGGCCAAAGGGGAAGGAAAGGAGGGCCAAAGGGGAAGGAAAGGAGGGCCAAAGGCAAAGCAACCTGCCTCAATATGATATGTCACTAAATCAGAGCATGAGGGACCGCTCTGGTCTCCTGGGGTGTTTTCCAAACCCCTGTGGAGCACGGCTGGATCCTGGGGCACAACATCCCCATCGATATCATCCCACATTGAAACGAAATGGAATCATCAAGGAATTCAAGGGAGCTCTGCTGCGTGCCGGGTGACACACCGCACCCGTGACCACATCACGCTGCTGCTGCTCCACCAGCCCCACAGACCTGGGCATGCCAAAGGGAGCAGCAGCTCCAACCACAGCGACCCCATGGGAGACCCCAAGCACCCCCAATGCCCATGGGGTGGCTCAGCCCTTGCAGGAGCCACCACACCAAAGGGGGGGGGGGGGGCTGCAGTGGTGCCAGCTCTGACCCTCACAGCTCTTCCCTGCCCCACTCTACAACCCCAGGCAGCTTCCCCAATACCCCTTCAATCCCCCCCCAAATCCCCTCACACCCTCTGGCTTGGACCCCCCCCCCATTTTACCCCTTCCTGCCCCGATACCCCCCCAAAACCCTCTCTTTAGCTCAAACCCCTTCATCAACCCCCCCCGTTCCTGCGCACACCCTGCACCCCTTACTCACAACCCCCCCAAGCCCTCTGGTTCAGCCTCCAGCCCCCTTAAACCCCTTCCCAAGGCCCCACTTCCCCTATACTCACCCCAGCGCCCCCCCCCCAGCCTGCTCTTAACCCCTCCCCGAGTCCCCTCACCCCCAAATGAAGACCCCACGGCCCCCCCCCCGGTGCTCACCACTCGGTTCCAGACGGCTCCCTGCTTGCTCTGCACGTCGGGGGTGAGGCGGATGAAGTGGGTCATGACCATGGCGTTACCCTGCAGGTCCCACAGCCCCGAGCTGGCCGAGCCCACACCTGCGGCCCACAAAGCACTGTCGGTACCGGATACCGGGTACCGGGCACCTTCCCCCCCAGCGCCCTGCCCTGCCCCACTCACCCTGGTAGGGTTTGGAGAGCGAGTGCTCCCGCTTGAGGTGCTCCTCCGTCTGCTCGGCCCGCGGCCCGCCCAGCGCCAGCAGCACCAGCACGGCCGCGTACCGGCCCGCCGCCGCCATCTTGCCCCCGCCGCCCGCGCTCCGCCCCGCCCCGCGCCGCCCATTGGCCCGCTCTCCGCGCCGAGCTCGCTCATTGGTTGCCTCGCCGAGGCCCGCGGGACGCGGGTTGGAGGAGAGGACTGTCAATGGAGAGGAACGGGCTGCGCGCAGGGGCTGATGGGTAACTTCTTTCTGGCTGCCTTAAAGGATCCGCGCCGGCTCCTGGCGTGCAATGGCCTGAAGTGCGCGCCCCGGGTCCTAGTGTCCCCCTCCTCGGTCCTAATGCCCCCTTCCCGCGACCCCCAGATCCTAGTGCCCCCCTCCTCGGTCCTAATGCCCCCTTCCCGCAACCCCCAGATCCTTGTGCCCCCCTCCTCGGTCCTAATGCCCCCTTCCCGCGACCCCCAGATCCTAGTTGCCCCCCTTACTCCAAGTCCTAGTGACCCGCCTCGGTATTAGTGCTCTCCTCCCTGGTCCTAGTGCCCCTTCCTGCCCCCCCCCAAACCCTAGTGCCCCCCTTACCCCAGGTCCTAGTGACCCTCCTCGGTCCTATTGCCCCCCTCCCTGGTCCTAATGCCCCTTCCCCCCCCCCCCCAAATCCTAGTGTCCCCCGTACCCCGGGTCCTAGTGCCCCTCTCCTCAGTCCTAATGTCCCCTCCCGCCCCCCCAGATCCTAGTGCTCCCCTTACCCCAGATCCTAGTGCCCCTCCTCTGTCCTATTGCCTCCCTCCTCGGTATTAGTGCCCCCCTCCCTGGTCCTAGTGTCCCCTCCCGCCACCCCCCCCCCCCCCAAATCCTAGTGTCACCCTTCCCCCAGGTCCTAGTGCCCCCCTCCAGGTCCTAACGTCCCTTCCCCTGTCCTAATGACACCCTCCAGGTCTTAGGTCCACCCCCCCCCCCAAGATCCTAAAGCCCTCCTCCCCAGGAGTTAGTGCCCCCCTTAAGCTCCTGCTCACCCTAGTTCCCCCTGCACCCCACACACCCACCTTGCCCCAGGGGGGGCTGAACTCCCACCTAATGGATACCCCTTTGCCCCCCCTTCATTCATCCACACTTGCGGACCCCACCATCCCGGTTCTGCCATCGCCCTTTTAAGGCGCCTGTGGCGGCGGGAGGGTGCGACGCAGCCCCGCTCGGGGCGGGAAGGGGGCGCGGCGTGAGGCGGTTGCGAGACGCCAACATGGCGGCGGGCGGCGGCGGCGGGGTCCGCTCGGTCCCCTCGGTGCTGCTGCTGCCGCCGCCGCTGCTGCTGCTGCTGCTGGCGCTGCCCGGCGCCGCCGCTGCCGCCGCCGTGTCCCGGACGGCGCCTCCGGACGGGTCCAACGTGGTGCTGGGGATGCGGCTGGAGGAGAGCACGAAGCCGGTGCCGGCGGCTCCGTCCCGCGGGCCCATCCGTGTGACGGAGGGCAGCGAGCTGGTGCTGCGCTTCTACGGGCAGGGCCTGGGCCCGGGCACCGGGGAACGGGTGGCGTTCGCCGAGCTCCGCCCGGCCGAGAACGGTTCTGCCCCGAACGGCTCCTGTTCCTATCGCACCCAGGACGTGGTGGTGCAGCCGGGCCCCGCGGAGCTCTTCGACACCTCGGCCCTGCTGCGGGTCCGGGTCCGCGCCCTGCGGAAGGGCGAGAAGGTAAAGACGTACGTGTTGTGCACGCAGCGCCGGGCCGGCCAGGCCTGGCTGCCCCATCCCGACCCCGACGCCTGGCTCATGGTGCTGGAGGAGAAGAAGTCGCTGTTGCCGCTGTGGCTGCAGGTGATCCTCATCGTGGGGCTCCTGGTGCTGTCGGGCATCTTCAGCGGGCTCAACCTGGGTCTCATGGCGCTGGACCCCATGGAGCTGCGCATCGTGCAGAACTGCGGCACCGACACCGAGAAGCGTTACGCCCGCAGGATCGAGCCCATCCGCCGCAAAGGGAACTACCTGCTGTGCTCCCTGCTGCTGGGCAACGTGCTGGTCAACACCACCCTCACCATCTTCCTCGATGACCTCATCGGTTCCGGCATCGGCGCCGTCGTCGCTTCCACCATCGGCATCGTCATCTTCGGGGAGATCGTGCCCCAAGCGCTCTGCTCCCGCCACGGCTTGGCCGTGGGCGCCAACACCATCGTGGTGACCAAGTTCTTCATGCTGGCGACGTTCCCCCTCTCCTACCCCATCAGCAAGCTCCTCGACTGCATCCTGGGCCAGGAGATCGGCACCGTTTACAACCGGGAGAAGCTGGTGGAGATGCTGAAGGTGACGGAGCCCTACAACGACTTGGTGAGGGAAGAGCTCAACATGATCCAGGGAGCCCTGGAGCTCCGCACCAAGACGGTGGAGGACGTGATGACCCCGCTGCAGAACTGCTTCATGATCAACAGCGACGCCATCCTGGACTTCAACACCATGTCGGAGATCATGGAGAGCGGCTACACCCGCATCCCCGTCTATGAGGAGGAGCGCTCCAACATCATGGACATCCTCTACGTCAAGGACCTGGCTTTCGTTGACCCTGACGACTGCACCCCCCTCAAGACCATCACCAAGTTCTACAACCACCCTGTCCACGTTGTCTTCCACGACACCAAGCTGGATGCCATGCTGGAGGAGTTCAAAAAGGGTAAGGGGGTGCTGCTGGTTCCATGGGGTGCTGCTGCTTCCCTGGGGTGCCGCTGCTTCCCTGGGGTGCTGCTGGCTCCATGGGGTGCTGCTGGCTCCATGGGGTGCTGCTTGCTCCCATGGGGTGCTGCTTGCTCCCATGGGGTGCTGCTTGCTCCCATGGGGTGCTCCTGGCTCCATGGGGTGCTGATTGCTCCCATGGGGTGCTGCTGGCTCCATGGGGTGCTGCTGGCTCCATGGGGTGCTGCTTGCTCCCATGGGGTGCTGCTGGCTCCATGGGGTGCTGTTTGCTCCCATGGGGTGCTGCTGGCTCCATGGGGTGCTGCTGGCTCCATGGGGTGCTACTTGCTCCCATGGGGTGCTGCTGGCTCCATGGAGTGCTGCTGGCTCCATGGGGTGCTGCTTGCTCCCATGGGGTGCTGCTTGCTCCCATGGGGTGCTGCTTGCTCCCATGGGGTGCTGCTGGCTCCATGGGGTGCTGCTGGCTCCATGGAGTGCTGCTCGCTTCCATGGGGTGCTTCTCACTCCCACGGGGCGATGCTCGCTTCCATGGGGTGCTGCTGCTTCCATGGGGTGCTGCTCACTTCCGTGGGGTACTGCTGGTTCCATGGGGTGCTGCTGCTTCCCTGAGGTGCCGTCCATGGGGAGCAGGTTTTGGTGAAGGCCACAGGACCCCGGGGACACGGTGCTGGGCACAGGCAGGTGAGCCAGGAGCCTCCCTTTCTCTGCCCGTGGTCAGCACCAGCCCCAGGAGCCACTTTGGGAACGGTCCCTTGGGTTTCATCACCAGCCCTGGAGGCCCTTGGATAGAAAATGAGAGCTGGGAAATTGCTGGGCTCCCAGGTCTGGGCTTGGCTCCTTCCTCCCAGCCCCATTCCCGCTCTGCTTCCTGCTCATGGGGCTGGGAACAGGAGCTGAGCCCTCCGGGATGTGCTTTCAGGCTGGGAACCCCCCTGCCCTTCCCAGCTTCCAGTGTGGGAGCGGGATGAAGTGAAGATCCCGGCTGTGGTGGGGGATGCAGCCACAGCCCTGTGTCCCGCCGTGCTCAGGGGCTCTTGTGATGGGATTTAAGGGATCAGATAAGTCCACCCGCAGCAAAAGCTTGGCTGGAGCTTGGGGAGAGGGTTTGGGAGCTGCTAGGTCCGAGCTTGGCTCGTGTATAAAAGTAGGGAGGAGGCAGCAGCTCCAAAAGCACAGGCATGGGAGCTTGGCGCTGCTCCTTGTGGGAATGCCAATGGGATCTCAGCATCATTCCCTTCAGTTCATCCCAGCCCGCTCCAGCCCGGCCCCAGTAGCAGTGAACCTAAGTCCTGTTGCTGCCGGCGCCGGTGTTATCCCGGCTGCTGGCACCGGCTTTCCCTCCGGCAAATCCTTCCTAAGGGATTTAAAGGCGCTCATTCCGGTTACAAAGCCACCCACGTCCCACGGGGCTGGATTTCAGGCACCTCTCAGGCTCAGGGCCCTGCTTTGGGGCACTGGTTGGAGCCGAGCCCCGTTCCTCATGGGTGCAGCTCCGTGGTGGGGCTCTGCCCTCATCCCCCCTCATGGGCACCCGGAGCAGAAGCAGCGCCCGTGCCCTTTGCCCAGCGGATCCCAGTGTTTGCTTTGCCACCAGCCGCTCCCAGCGGAGCTCATCCCAAGAGGAGCTGCCTGAGTCACCCATCCCCATCCCCGTCCCTGCCCATCTGCAGCCCAGGTGAGGGGTTCCCAGAGCCATGAGCTCAGGGAGGTTTCACCCCTCTGAGCATCACCGTTACTGGAGCAGCTCTGCTCTGGAGCCAGGCTGAGAGAGCTGGGCTGGGGCAGCCTGGACAAGAGAAGGCTCCTGAAGGGGAGACCTGAGAGCAGCTCCAGTGCCTGAAGGGGCTGCAGGAAACCTGGAGAGGGGCTTGGGACAAGGGATGTAGGGACAGGCCAAGGGGAATGGCTTTAACCTGCCCGAGGGGAGACTGAGATGAGCTCTTAGGCAGAAGCTCTTCCCTGTGAGGGTGCTGAGGCGCTGGCACAGGGTGCCCAGAGCAGCTGTGGCTGCCCCATCCCTGGCAGTGTTCAAGGCCAGGTTGGACACAGGGGCTTGGAGCAAGCTGCTCCAGTGGAAGGGGTCCCTGCCCGTGTCAGGGGTTGGAACTGGATGAGCTTTAAGGTCCCTTCCATCCCAAACCAGGCTGGGGTTCTACGAGCACAGGGAGCTCTGTGGTCCCTTCCCCACCAGCTTTCCCCAGCAGCTCTATAACCAAACAGCTCGTGTCAGGGCAGGCACATTGGTGCTGAGCAGAGCAGGATGGCACCTTGCTGCTGGCCTCGGGGCGAGTGTGGAGCTTCAAGAGGCCCAAGTCTGTGGGGCTGTGCTGAGGTGAGGGAGGGAGCATCATCACCTTCCTCCCTGCCTCAGTTTCCCCAGGCTAAGGAGTCCATCGTGTGGGTGCAGTGACCTGGCCTGGGCGTGCTGTGGTGTTCCACACACTGCTCCTTTCCCTGGAGCAGAGCTGTTCCTTGTCCAAGGAGCTTTTCCCAATGGATCTCTGCAATGTGGGGACGGAGCAGGAGAAACACGCACCCAGGAGCAGGGCCAGCCGGGATTCCAGCTTTGGATTTCGCTGGGATAAGGCTAACTGCATCCTGCCTACACAGGGTGGGACCCGTGGGCACTCACCCCACATTGTGACAGGGAATGGGCTCCCGGGGGGCACATTCCATCTCCCGGGAACCCCATTGCCAAGCCCTGGCCTCAATCACTGCCATCGCCCTGGGGGTTGGTGCCCAGCCCAGGGCCATGTCTGCATCTCAGCTGGTTCATTGTTTCCTAGGCAGGCGGGTGGTGGGATATGGCAAGCAGTGGTCCCAGTGAACCCCCCATCCCCCTTGAAACTGAGGGGGTTCCCCTTCCAACATCCCATGTGCCAATCCCTAGGGAAGTCCCACCTGGCCATCGTGCAGAAGGTGAACAACGAGGGCGAAGGGGACCCCTTCTACGAGGTGCTGGGGCTGGTGACGCTGGAGGATGTCATCGAGGAGATCATCAAGTCGGAGATCCTGGACGAGTCGGACACGTACAGTAGGTGTTGGGCTCGCCCCCTGCCCCCTCCTCATCCCGCTGTGTCCCGCTGTATCCCACTGTATCCCGCTGTATCCCACTCCCATCCCGCTGTGTCCCTCTGTATCCCGCTGTATCCCACTGTAACCCGCTGACATCCCGCTGTATCCCACTCCCATCCCCCTGTGTCCCGCTGTATCCCGCTGTGTCCCACTGACATCCCCACTGTGTCCTGCTGTATCCCGCTCTATCCCACTGTATCCCACTGTAACCTGCTGTATCCCACTGACATCCTGCTGTATCCCACTTACATCCCGCTGTGTCCTGCTGTATCCCACTGTAACCCGCTGACATCCCGCTGTATCCCACTCCCATCCCACTGCATCCCACTGCATCCCGCTGTATCCCACTGACATCCTGCTGACATCCCGCTGTATCCCGCTGTATCCCACTGACATCCCACTGTATCCCGCTGTATCCCACTCCCATCCCACTGTATCCTGCTGTATCCCACTCCCATCCCACTGTATCCCGCTGACATCCCGCTGTATCCCACTCCCATCCCACTGTATCCCGCTGTATCCCACTCCCATACCGCTGTATCCCGCTGTATCCCACTGACATCCCTCTGTATCCCACTCCCATCCCGCTGTATCCCGCTGACATCCCGCTCCCCACAGCTGACAACCGCAGCAGGAAGCTTGTGAACAACCACAAGGGCAAACGGGACTTCTCGGCCTTCAAGGACCCCGTTGGGGAGCAGAAGGTGAAGGTCTCCCCGCAGCTGCTCTTGGCCGCCCACCGCTTCCTCTCCACAGGTAAAGGGGGTTGCGGGGGGAGCCCCCTGAAGCTCAGGGCACCCTTTGGCTCTGTCCAATGGCTCCAGCAGCTCCCCAGCACTGACCTGGTGGGTTCCGTGTGCTGCCGTGTCCCTGGGCTCCATTCCTGTCCCCCCAGCAAGGAAGAGTTGCTCCAACCATGTAGTTCAGGAGTTACGGGGTGCTTGTGTCTCATCCCACTCCCCTCTGTCCCAACCCCAGAGTGGGAATGAGCAGGGCTCAGGGATGCCTGTGATGCTCAGAGGGTCCCCATCCCTCCAGCGTGGTCGCATTCCCCGTGTCCCCAAGGCTTATGTTGGGTGGGCTTCTGCCCCAGGGAGGTGCCAAGGCCCCACGCAGAGGGACAAGGGGAGGGATGCACCTTCCTGTGGAGGGCCAAGGACCATGGCTCTGAGCCCTTTCCTCCCCCTCTGGCTCTCAGAGGTGACGCTCTTCACCCCCACCTACATCTCGGAGAAGATCCTCCTGCGCCTCCTCAAGTACTCCCACGTCATCCAGGAGCTGAAGTTCGATGAGGGCAACAAGAAGGCCCCGCGCCACTTCCTCTACTGCAAGAACAAAGCAGCTGACTACTTCACCCTCATCCTGCAGGTACCCGGCTGCTGTCCCGCACTTGGGGTCCCCTGTGTGAGCCCTCACCCCCGGGCAGGCAGTGACAGCGGGGTTGGGGTCTCTCCTCCAGCCCAGTGCTGCGGGATGGGGCTTAAGGAACCCAACCTTTTCTCTCCCTTGCAGGGCAAGGTGGAGGTGGAGACGGGCAAGGAGTGCATGAAGTTTGAAGCAGGAGCGTTCTCCTACTATGGGGTGATGGCCATCAGCCCCTCTCCTACTGGTAAGCACCCCCACATCGCTTGGGTGCCAGCATGGAGCGAGCCTCCCACCCTGTGTTAGAGCTGCTGGTGGGAATAGATGCTAGAGCCCCCACTGGTGCCCCCTGAGCTGCCCTTGAGGGGCTGTGACACTGACCCTCATGGTGCTCAGTGGCAGCAGCACTCATCTGTGGGCACTGTGAGGGGCAGGGGGACCTGCAGCCACCCTCCCCTTCATCCACAGGCTTCTCTTCACCTTGTCCTCTGTGTTGTCTGGTCCATCTCTGTACCCCGTGTCTGAGCACATCACCCTGTCCCCATAACCCCAACTTGTCCCTAACCCTTGTGGGGTGACTGAGCCAGTGGTTTGGACTCAGTGTCCTTGGTCCTGGTCCCTGTCCCCTGGTGCAAGGGGGAGCAGAGGGTTGGGTGGATCAAATCCGGTGCTGCAGGGCTGCACTGGGGTGGACGCGCATCCCATCGCTCCTTGTCACCATTGGGATCTGTGTCCCTGGAGCCTGCAGGATGGGGATCTCCCTGCACGGAGCCAGGGCAGCATCACCAGGGGCTCAGCACCCTGTTATGGGCAGGCACAAGGAGCCAGGGTGGGGGGGTGCAGGGCATGGCTGACCCCATCCCTCCCATCCTGCAGAGATGCGCTCCCCGTCCCACGTCAGCAGCCTCAACCACTCAGCATCCCTCAACTACCACGAGCGCTCCGACTCCATCTCCTCGCCCATCAGCGGCAGCACCGGCCAGCTCAACACCAGCACCGGCGCCCAGTACGTGCCCGACTTCAGCGTCCGTGCCCTCACCGACCTCCAGTTCGTCAAGGTGAGGGCTCTGGGGCATGAGAGTTGGGGGGAGCAGCTTGGGGGGGGGGGGGGTTAACCTGGAGAAGAGGAGGCTCAGGGAGGACCTCAGAGCAGCTTCCAGTGTCTGAAGGGGGCTACAAGGGTGCTGCAGAGGGGCTCTTCATCGGGGGCTGTAGGGATGGGACAAGGGGTGATGGGTTCAGACTGAAACCAGGAGGGATTTAGGTTGGAGAAAAGGCAGAAGCTCTTCCCTGGGAGGGTGCTGAGGCGCTGGCACAGGGTGCCTGGAGAAGCTGTGGCTGCCCCATCCCTGGCAGTGCTCAAGGCCAGGTTGGACACAGGGGCTTGGAGCAAGCTGCTCCAGTCGAAGGGGTCCCTGCCCATGGCAGGGGTTGGAGCTGAAGGAGCTTTAAGGTCCCTTCCAACCCAAACCATTCCATGATCCATTCTATGACAAGAGGAAACGGCCTCAGGCTGCCCCAGGGCAGGTTTAGGTGGAGCTGGGGAACAATTCCTGCCCCAGAGGGTGCTCAGGCATTGGAACAGGCTGCCCAGGGCAGGGCTGCAGTCACCGTCCCTGCAGTGCTCACACACCCTCAGTGCCATGGGTCAGTGGTGGCCTCGGCAGTGATGGGAACGGTTGGACTGGATCCTAAAGCTCTTTCCCATCCTCATTAATTCCATGGCTCTTAAGATGGGCCCGACACCCACAGGGATGCTCTTGGAGGTCCAGCCCCACTCCTCACTCCTTCCCTTCTCCCTTTGCCCCCACAGATCATGCGCCACGAGTACCAGAACGCCCTGACAGCCTCCCGCATGGACAGTTGTCCCCAGTCCCCCGACAGCAACTGCCCCGGTGCAGACACGGATGCACCGGAGAAACCCGAACCTTCCAGCACCACCGACGAGACCACGAGCCTCCTGAACAAGAGGAACTGCCTGAGCCGGCGGAGCAACCACAGCCTCTTGGAAAACTCCATCTGACCCCGGCGCCACCGGCACGGGTTCGGTTTTAGGGGACCCTTTTCTTCCTAAGTAGGTGACACCGTGCCGGGGCGCCCGGAGAAGCCTGGTTGAACCCTTGGTGGCACCGTGGTGGTAAACGGAGCTGGGATCTGCTGCTGCTTTTCCAGGCTGGTTTCTTTTGTGATCCATCTCCAGGATGGCACAAAAACCCTCGTTCAGCTCAGGGAGCTTCAGGTCTCGGGGTTGGGGGGGCTCTGCCGTGGCCATCCCGGCCCCTCTGCCGTGGTTTTTATGTGGGGGAAGGGGGGGCACCTGGCATGTGACACCATGGTGGCATCTCATCCTCCTCCGTGCCCGTCGTTCCCCTTTCCTGCTGGCCCGGGAGGCGGCGAGGACGTGGCAGCGGAGAGAGGTCGGCATCGGGCCTGAGGCCACGGGGATGGTCGCCGGTGCAAAGCCGCCACCACCACCACGGCTCAGAGTTGAACCCCCCCCCCCTCCTCTGCCACTCACCGGTGTCACGAGCGCACTGAGGACGGCAGCGCCGGGTCCTTGTTGTCATTATATGTGTGTGTGTGTGTGTGTGTGTGTGTGTCCCTCCAAGGGGGTGGTTTTGGTGCCTTCCCTCCCCTTGCCCCCCCAGCTCCATGGGGTGTCTTGGGGCGGGACGTGGGGCCGGGGGCACAAAGCTAGTGACCAAAGTTGTACAAGCAGGAGGGGGCCAGCATCGTGTGTGCCCCCCCTTACACCCAGCACCAGGGGGGACCCCCAGACCCATGGGTGCCCTCAGGGTTGGGCCTGGGGACCTGGTGCCCCATAGAGGGGGGGGGGGGGGAAGGAGACGTGGCCCCCCACCCCAAAAGCACAAGTTCCCTGGGTGCCCTGTGTAAGTTATTAGGAGAAGGTGAATCACTGTTGTTAATTCCATCTCGATGCTCGGATCCGGGGGCCTGTGGGGGGCGATGATCGAAATAATAATAATTATGAATAATAATTAATAATAATAATTAATAATAATAAACAAGACAAAAAAAAAAGGACCCTTTTTTATTAAATC